TACACATATTCCTGCCTTCTCCTCAACTTTGGAGTCGAGCCCTGGCCACCAAAAATAGATTCTGGCTGTCTCCTTCATTCTGACAATGCCACGGTGACCTTTGTGGAGTTGATTTAACAAATTTTTCCTTAACAGTGGTGGAAATGATGACCCTCATTCCCCATAGGAGACATTCTGCTTGTATGGGTAGAGTGATATATGTTTTCAGTTCTGGGGTTATTTCGTAATCTTGCAATGGAGTACCATATCCATCATTTTTATGGTAGCGGATCATTTCCTAGTGTACTTCTTAACTTGTCCTTCTGTTACTGGAGTACTCCCTTCATGTTCAAAGTAGAAAAAGCCTACATAAGGACTGTTTGGTTCATTTGCAAAGGTGATCTAGAGAGCCCATCAGCATTGCCATATAAGATGGATTGCCAATACTTAATTACATAAGTGTGAGCTGATAGCAACAATGCCCACTTCTGCACACAGCTCACTGTTGAAGAAAGTATCCCTATATGAGGTCCAAATATTGTGGTCAGTGGTCTGTTAGCAGGGTAAATTCCCACATCTACAGGAATCAGTACAATCGTCTTATACCAAAAATGATTCACTGGCTACTTTCTCTATTCAAGCATATTTTAATAATTTTGCAAAAGCTATTGACCCCTTTTCACCATTGGGTAATATATGAGAAATGACTGCTCCCAATCCATAACAGATAGTAGTTGCAATGGTAATTTTGGGTCAAAATAGGTCAGGACTTCTGACTTTAATAAAACCTATTTGACTTGTATAAATTTTCACATTGATCTTCCCATTTCCAATTCTTATTTTGGCATAATAAATTGTATAATGGCTTGAGAATTATTGCAAGATTTGGGACAAACCTACCATATTGATTTAGCAAGTTCAAAATATATCGGATTTGGTTTACATGCTTACGTGCTGGTGCTTCAGTTAAGGCTTTTACTTTTGAAGGTGATTTGTGTGTTCCTTAGCTTCAATGACTAGGCTAAGTATTCAATGGACAATTTAAAAAATTTACATTTGTCTTTCCTTATTCTTAGGCTGTACTAATTAAGTTTCTGTACATTAGCATCTAAATTGCTGAAATGCTTTTTTTTTCATTTCTCCCTGTAATGAAAATATTGTCGAAGTAACCCTGGATCCCTTCCAATTCACTTAAAATTTGATCCAAAGCATGTCAACATAATGCAGATGCAGATATGATTTCAAATAAAAGTTTCTTGTATTTGAATAATCCTTTTATGTGTTACAGTTGTCAAGTATTTCTGTAACTCAGGCATGACTGAGGTCAACTTTACTTAGAAGCTGGCCGCCAGCTAACCCAGCAAATAGCCCATCAACTAAAGGCAAAAGATATTGCTCAGCACACAGCACGAGATTAATAGTGACCTTACAATCACCGCACGTGGTTACCAATCAATCTTTCTTAAACACTAGCACGGCAGGTGTGGCCCAAATACTCACATTTATGGATCCAAGGACTGCTGTCTTGACTAGCCTCATTAATTCTGCTTTGACCTTTAGTCTGATTGCAGAAGGTACTGGATTAGCCTTGCAACATCTTGCCTAAGTCTTACTTTTGACTGTTAATTTAACAGAAATATTTTCATTGCTTCCCAGATCACTGTTGAAAACAATGGCATGCTTTTTTTAGAATTTGTGATAGACCAGTCTCAGAATATGACATGCAATTTATTTTAGCCCATTGAGTTTGATTTTTCTCCAACCATACTCTTCCCAATAAGGTTGGAAAATTTCCTTTGGTAACATGTAGAAACAAATTTTATGAATGACCATATAACTGTACATTTACATTGATACAACCCTTTAAAGGCACCACATCACCTGTATCTGTTCTTAGCACATTTTTTGAGGTTTGCAGCGCAATGTGACTGAGCTGCTTCTGATACACACTTTCAGATATCCACAAAACTGCCGCTCCACTGTCCACTTTCGTTTTTCCTGGTTTTCCATTCAATAAGGGATTGACCCAGCATAGGCTGGTGTCACCAGCAATGGCCAGTATGCTTAATAACAGCCCCACTTCAGACTGAGAGTCTGGGCTTTTGTCATGACCTTTTTGTACCATGTAGACTTTCTTCCTACTCTTCAGTTTCTGTACTTTTGTTATATGTTGTTCATGTTTCTCCTTCAACCACACCCATTCATTGTGGTCTTTTATTCCTGCAGTTTATGCATACAGCTTCTTTAGACCAGCAATTTGCTGCTGCATGACCTGCTTTTCTACACTTGAGTCTGTGTGGGTGACCATCTCTCAGCCACCATTTTGTGATCTTTGTCAGTTGCCATTTTGTAAATTCTCATGCTCGAGCTTAGTTGTTGAGCTTCCTGGGCTGCAACTTCCATTGAAACTGCTATTTGCAGTGCTTTCTTTAAGGCTATGTTCCCTTCCATTAGTAATCTTTTCTGGACATCTTAAAATGCAAACCAGTCTGACTCTGACAGCGTATTTAAATTGTCTCCAAGTTTCCAAAATTCTCCTAACTTCTTTAAAATTGCTATGAACTGTAAGATAAGTTCACCATCATGCTGATTGTGTTTGTAGAATCTGAACCTTTCAGCAATGGTTTTGGTGAAAAATGGTCCTGTAGGATTCTACTATTTCTTCACAAGTTTTGGAACCCAGCTTCTCTAGCTGTACCAGATTCATCAGGGATTTATAAGCTTCTCTCACTATAATAATCAGGAATACAGAGCCCACTATATCTGCTTCAATTTTGTTAACTTGGGCAAAATAATAGAATTTTTCTGTGTAGGCGGTCAAGCTTTCCATGTTTTCATCATACAGTCCCACAGATACAAAATTTCCCACCATTTTATATTTATTTTAAAATGGTAAGAGCTGCATAGTACAATGTATCAATATCAGCACTACCTTACCTTCTCCTGTTTACAACAAGATACAGTATTCCTGAGGCTGCCTGTTTCTTTCCGCATTTATACCCCTAAAACATGTCAAAACATTTCCCTTGAGTAGGGCATTGGTTACTCCCTTGTTACTGTCTTCAGGGTGAAGTTTGTGACGAGATTTTTCTGCACTGTTCTCAATTTTTTCTCTTGCTGACTATACCTGCTTCAGTGTAGTGATAACATCTGTTGATGTTTCTTCTTTTGAAGTGCCTCTAAGATCTTCTGTGAGGACCACAATTCTGTTTTAATTTGACAAATCAGTGAACTGACCTAGTGGATCTCGAAGCAGTTTTTATCTTTGTCACCAGTTTTCTTCTTGTGTTATATTACAAGAAGAACCAAGAGGTCAAGGTGTTTAACAACAACAGGAGCTTTACTAAGGAGGTTTTCACTCTTCAGGCAACAAAGTTAGGCTATACTGTTTTCCACCTAAAATGGTTGATGCTGTCATTGTGATGTAACGTGATTAGCCTCTTAAAATGACAATCTACTATGCTTACCAAATACACAACATATGATAGAACATGGAACAGAACAGCATAGGAACAGTCCCTTTGGCCTACCATGCCTGCGCCGACAATGATGCCATTCTAAAGTAATCCCATGTGCCTGCACATGGTCCATATCCCTCTATTCCCTACCTGTTCATGTGTCTGTTTAAATGCCTCTTAAATGTTGCTATAATGTCTGCTTACACCATCTTCCCTGGCAGCATGTTTCCGACTTATGCTTCCCATAATTTTATCAGGTTGCCCTTCAGACTCTTATGATAGCCGTTCAAACCTGCACCTCAGTCACCTAGAAGGGCAAGGCAGTAGATAGATATGAATAGCATTCCCTGCAAGATTTTCGTCCGAGTAACACACTATCCCAAATTGGAACTATATTGCTATTTGTTCACTGTTGCTCTGTCAAATCCTGAAACTCCATTGTATATAGTGCCTCAAATGGACATTATCTGCACGCAAACCCTAAGTCAACTGGAAAGTAATATTTTTCATTTCTTGAGCTGATTCTGCATTCTTATACAAACAAAAGGATAATGCATTGTATAGTTTAATTGTGATATATCATAATCTACATCTTCATGTGTAGGGGATAATTCCAAAGTTTACAATGACTCAAAATTTTGGTGAACTATAAACTGAGTAGGACAATGTAGAACTTAAAGGATATTGACATGGTGGAGTGGGCAGTTAAGTGACAGATGAAGTTCAATGTCGAAAAGTGTGAGGTGATGCACATTGGTAGGACAAGAACAAAGAAATACTGTATCAAATAAAGGGTATTATTCTAAAGGGTGCACAGGAGCAGAGAGTCCTGGTTGCGTGTGTGCATGAATCATTAAAGCTGGAAGGACAGGTAGCCATTAATAAGCCATCCAGCACTCTAGACTTCCTAAATAAGGACACCAGGTACAACAGTAGAGAAGCTATGATGAATTCACGTAAGATACTGGTTAGATCTCCGTTTGGATAGTATGTACAGTTCTGTTTGCCAAACTATGGGAAGGGTGTGAATGAATTGAAGAGAGTACCAAAAAAAATTTACAGAAACGACTTCGGAGATGAGACACTTCAATTACATGGAAAGGTTGTTGAGGTTAGGACTGATTTCCTTGGAGAAGAGAAAACTAAGAGGAGATTTGATGGAATTCATGAGAGGTCTGGATAAAGCAGATATGGAGAAATTGTTCCTGTTGTAACAGATCAAAAACTAAAGGGCACAGTTTTAAAGTGGCTTGCAATAGAAACAAATGTGAAGTGAGAAAAAATATTTCACACAGTGAGTAGTTAAGGTATGGATTGCACTGTCTAGATATGTAGGGGAGGCAAGTTCAATTCTGGCATTCATGAGGGCATTGTATATTATTTAAATAGAAATGATGTGTGGTTTTATGGAGAAATGGTAGGATATTGGTACTAAGATAAAATACTGAGAGCTAGTGGTCTGAATAGCCTCCTTCTATGACTCTGTTTCATACTTGTGTGTCAAAACTGAACTAATATTTACTAATTCACAAATGAACTTGTTAAATTTTGTGACTTTTTAAGTATCGATGCATATCTGCCAGATGCCAACAGTGAGGATGAACACAGCCTCGCAGACAGCGAGATGTTGGCCAATGAGTCCTTTAAATTTGAGAGCTCTCTAACTAAAGAGCAGCAAGAAGCTTTGGCAGAAAATTCAGCAAGAGTAATCCAAAGAGCATGGAGAAGACACATCGTAAGTTTAACTTTGTGCTAAGTTGGCAAACGGCAATGTAGGGTGGGGAGTTACAGGAAGCACAAAATTGCTGAGCAGTTTTAGGCTGTTTTTTCATCTGCATTTAACCACGCATTTTATTAATTTATTAATTGATATTGGGTCATGTTTTCATACATTATTATGATAAATTTCAAAAGTACTTCAAAATATAAAGCATTTAGGGATATTTTGAGGGTGTGAAAGGCACAATGTAAATTCAAATTTTCTCTTTTTTTCTCAAGGTATTTCTCAAATGTCACAAAATTTAAAGGGCAATTTAGTAAATTGTACATGTGCAAATATATTTTTAAAATAAATATGTTTTTGAAACAAAAACAATTCCATTGAAGACCTTAAAGTTTGGCAAGACTGAAAACAGTCAGGAAAGCTATGTTAAAAATAGTTTTACACACGTTTCTCTGAGTATACAGCTGAATAATTTGCATAGGTGTGGATGGGTTATTATGGTACCTCCCTGCTATGTGTTGTGTTGGTAAAACAGATTTTAAAACAGGTTAGACTAATGTTTACTGACACAACATTTTAGCAGATGTGAGATTCTGCCAATGTGTTCACTCCCTACAAAATATGCCATTAAATAAGAGTAATGATGTTTAAGTAGTGTGGTTAAATGTATTTTGGGAGTTAGTTTGGTTTTTATCCACGTTAACAGATTTGTAACCTGTTCCTTAAATAAATGTTTAGTTTAATCTCCTTAAACTGATGGCAGAAAATTGTTCTTTTTCACATATGATTGATTAAGGTAAGTCAGAGGATTTTTTGTTTGGTGGGTCTTTTTTACCTTTATTCTTTCATGAGATGTGTGCATTTCTAGCAAGGCTAGCACTTAGTATCCATCCCTAGTTGCTCTTAAACTAAATGCCACGTTAGTCCATTTCAGAGACAAATTAAGAATCAACCACATTGCTTTCAATCTGGAGTCACACCACCATGTAGACCAAATCGGCGGGCAGATTTCCTTCCTTGAAGGGGATTTGTGATGGGTGTTTTAATGACAATCAATAATAGTTTCAGATTAATTGATTGAATTTGATTTATGCCAAGTAGTGTGCCTGAGTACTTTCTGTAAGGTGGTGTGTGAAGCCTACTTCCAGTAACTAACTATAATAGTTAATTCTACAGCAGCAATCCACTTCAATGCATAAGTATTCAGGCATTTGACAACCAAATAAATTGTAACTGTGGTATCTGACAACAGAATCAGGGTCAGAATATTCCAGTTTCCAATTGGTTTTTACACCCTTGCTGATTCCAGGTTTGAAAATCTTTAATAGTTTTCAATTAATACTAACCCACTCTAAGGGCAGCAGACCAATAATTTCTTCTGGATGTGCACTGGAAAGTGTTTCTTCTTCATTAGTTCACAAGACATGGATATCATTGGCTGAGCCCACCTTAATTGTCCTTGAGAAGGAGGTGTTGAGCTCCCTTTTTGAATCACTGCTGTCCTTGGGATGTAGGGACACCCACAGCACCGTTGGGAAGGGAGTTGCAAGATTTTGACACAGTGACGTTTAAGGAATAGCAGCATTTTTGCAAGTCAGAATAATATGTGGCTTGGAAGGGATCTTGCTGGTGTTCCCATGCATCTGCTGCCCGTGGCCTTCGAGGTGATAGGGTCGCAGTTTTCAAAAGTGATGTTGATAGCGTCATGATGAGTTGCACTAATGTATTTGTACATAGTACATACTGCTGCCACACTGCACCGATAGTGAATGCACTCTTTCTAGATTGTAGAAAGGTTTTGGGGAGACAGGAAGTGAGGTTACTCACTGCAGAATTGCCAGCTTTGACCTGCTCTTGTAGCCATAGTACTTAAGCTGCTGGTCCAGTTCGGTTTCTGGCCAATGCTAATCCCTGAGATGTTGCTAGTGGGGAATTTGGTGATAGTGGTGATCTAATATCAAGGGGAGATGGTGAAATTCTCTTTTGTTAGGGATGGTTATTACCTGGTACTTGTAGGGCATGAATGTTACTTGCCAATTATTAGCCCAAACTTGAATAATTGTCCAGGTCTTGCTGTGTTTGAACACAGAGAGCATCTGTATGACAGAAATTTGTAAAAATGGATTTGCATAGAACCCAACTAACCAAGGCATGACGAGTTTTATTTGAAACAGCAAGGTATAGTGCAGCACTTTGAAGAGCTCTGTTGACAATATGCTGACATCTCGTGTCGATTCACAGGAGCTTACAAGTCTAATGAATAATGCTGTTGGAATTTTTCTTTTGCATTTTATGTTGACCCTACTGTTCTGTTTGTTAAAATATGTTAGCATCATGAAGGAGTGGAGGAACTTCTTACCGATTTTCTCATTTGCTTCCTAAAGGCATGAACAATTTTCTGGGGTACTAACATAAGTACTAACTACCTTCACATGCTTTCCCAAATGACTATTATGCATACATCAGTACTGGCTAAAATAAAGAAGAAGTTTTGCCTATGGAGGTGTATCCTGACAAGTTCGATCCTTTCTTCACCTTACATCTTGCAACGGTCGTTGGATACAGATCAGGACTAGGAACTGTGATGATTTTCCTTGTGTGCTGAGGTCGATTGTAACACTCTCTCATTATCTCATTGAAGTAAACAAGACTGGAGATCAGATTAGGGCTTTGCTCATCTATGAGATGACTCATTGAATAAACTTGCTGCATCATTTAAAATTCTTTGGATAAACTGGATTTGAATGAGGGGCTTGATTTTAATAAAAGCAGCAAGTGCTGGGAAACTCGGCGGATCTGGCAGCATTTTTGACAGAAAAACAGTGTGGTGTTAGACCATCATTGTTTAGGATGTGGCCCCGAACAGGAAGCTGGTGTCCTGTTTCACCAACGTGGACCTGGAGTTGCTGGTGGACAGGGTAGTGGAAAGGAGGTCACATCAACAAACTCCGCCAGCCTGGACTGAGATAGCAGTCCAGGTCAGTGCAGTTGTCCTGGGTTAAAAGAAACACACAATAGTACAGGAAGAAAGTTCATGACTCTGCACTCCACAAGGGTAAATATCACCACTATCTTTTTGCTATTGCTCACTCAAACTCTGTACTGCTTTCAGCCCTCAGCAAGGCTCAGGGCTACAGCTGTGTGTTGCAGGCAACATGTCCACTCGATGGTTCTTGCCCATCATCTCTTCAGGAATTACTAACTCTTCCTGCTCTCTGTGTTTCCTACTCTCAAACTGGCGTCACCTCACCACCTGTCCTGACCCTACATCACTACAAATGGATCTCTCATCCACTTCCATCATATTCAACTCTCCTTTCATCTCATTGTAGAAAAATGTCTCCTAGCCAGGCAGAGAGGTCAAAAACAAGCTGGTCAATGATGAACGTAAGGCTTCTTGCAACATATCAAGGGAAGCTGTTATATTTAGCTGGAATAGAGCATGATTACTTATCTGGGCGTGTGGAGACCTCTGGGCAACAGCTCAGTAAGCTTCATTGTTCTGTGCCATGCTGCACTGTTCTTACCACAAATGCTCACTCACTCAAATGTTTTATCCCTTTTATACAACTAATTCTCTCTTTCTTTCCCTCTATTACTTAGACAGTAGTGGTATCAAATCAACATTCTTCCAAAGAATCCAGCACAGGAAATCATCAGCACCTTTGAACAGGAGGATGCAGTAGCAAAGCTTTCACCTACACTGTCCACCTGCTCACAGATTTTTACCTCAGTACAAACACCCCGATCTTTGAAACTAAGAGGAACTTATCAAGAGCAGGCACCTGTTCAGTTTCAAGTAGAGGATGATCCTATGGGCTCGGCTATTAATTATTTTGTCAAAATGCTTATACAAACGGATGAACAGCAGGAAAATTTGTCCGAGCCAATCAATAAACTGGATCAAAGAATGGAGGAGTCCACTAATGTTATCAATACTGTGCTGGCTCTGGCATGCCTCCATGGATAAGCTGACTACTACCATGAAGACCCAGGTCCAGCACACTCAGTGTCTGCCAGATGTGCGCACAGACTTGCATTCCATTTCTACAGCCATAGGTGCACTGTGTCAATGGCAAGGCAAGAGGGACTTTAAGAACTTCGACCTCATTCCAGGTGCCTCTTCCTCTCTATGAGAGATGGTGGGGCTAGGATGCACTGAGATGCTGCAGAGATGCCTTGCCCCTCCGCCTCTCCCTTTTCAGTGATGCCAAAACCTGAAGAAATTCAAGATATAGAGAGTGAGCATGCATTTGGACAAGACATTGGAGGAAAGCCTGGGCCCTTTAGACCTAACTGTCCTTGGAAATGACTGGCCAAGTCATCAGTTCCAACCAAGAGCAAGTTCCCTCCACCCCAGCTATGGAAATCATGAATGCACAAAAATGTACTGAGAGGGAAAGATAGAAAAAACTTACCAAGGGGAGAGATGAGCAGCCTGTTCAGGCACCCAAGAATGTTTATCTCTCATAAACATCAGACATCATGGATCCTTGAAATGTGTATTATGATGACTACGGCCAAGATGGTGTACTTTAACATGACAACACTGAGGCTAAAAGCAATATGTAGGGATTTTATTAGGGCCAGTCCTGCACAATCATCCACACACACCCAGCTTGTGAGTGAGAAGATGGAATCATTGAAGATTCCACACAACCTAAAGCCCATCCAATATCAATAAGGCACAAGTTAGGAGTGTGATAGAACACTTTCCACTTTCCTTGATGAGTGCAACTCCAACAACACTCAAGCAGCTTGACATAATTCATGACAAAACAGTCTGCTTGATTGGCAGTTATCCACTCCATCCACCACAGATGCTCAGTAACAGCAGTGTAGAAAATCTACAAGATGCTATGCAGACATTCACCAAAGCTCCTTCGACAGCACCTTCCAAACCCATGACCACTACCATCTCGAAGGACCAGGGTTACAGCACCACCACCTGCAAATTTCACTCCAAGTTACTCACCATGCTGACTTGGAAATATATCACCATTCCCTCAGTA